TAGAGAAGGTGAGAAACGAGAAGGGTGAGTTGGGAAGTTGCGAGCCACAGTTGCGAGCTGGGCAAGAAAGACTTGGTGCGTTGGAAGCTAAGCCACAATCTGGGTGTCACCTATTTGGAATCGTTTGCCATGATCTAGAAATTATTTTGTGGAGGTATGCTTCCAATCACAAATCCTTATGTGTTTATATTTATGTATTTATTTAGTATATATATATATGTAGATATATATATATATATATATATACACACCCGCCGGCTAGCTCACGTTTGTGTTTTCAGGTGACAAAGCGACGTCGTACGGAGAAGCGTGGACTTGGTCAACAGGATTATAAGAGGCAGTATGGTAGTATTTCGGAGAATTGGAGAGTTCTATAACAAAACAAGAAAAAATATTGCTTTGGTAAAGAGCAAAAGGTTGGAGAATAATAATAAAATACTAGAATAAAATATTAAGGAGTTATGAAAGTGGAGATCTACACTTAGAACATTTTGAGAGGGTTGAGAGCCACGAGAGGAGAGTTCGGATCTAGAGAAATATGAAAACTGAGACTTCAGAATAACAATAAAATAAAAGAGAGAGCTATGAAAAATGAAGAGCTCTAAGAATAAAAATACTAAAATATTAGAGAGCTATGAGAGTGGACAATAAGAATAATAATGAAACTTGGAGAGCTATTGGAGAGTTCTAAGAATAATAATAAAATATTAGAGAGCCATGAGTTAGAGAGCTCAAATATGGAGAGCTAAGAAATTGATGAGCTATCACAAGTGGGCTTAGTTTCGACACTTAGCAAAATTCATATGAGAATTGGGGGCTAGCTCTAAGAATGATGAGAGGAGAGCTTTAAAAATAATATTAAGATATTGAAGAACTATGAAATTGGTGAGTTATAAAAATACTGGGCGAGCTGACTTAGAGAGCTTTAACAATAATAAAATAGTGAAAAAATTGAATAGCTCTAGGTTATTGAATTGGAGAGTTCTAAAAATAATAATAAAATATTAGTGAGCTAAGAAATTGGTGAGCTATCACATGGAGAGCTATGAGATTGGAAAGCTCTAAAAATAATAATAAAATATTAGTGAGTTAAGAAATTGGTGAGCTATCATATGTGGCTCTAGCTTCGACACTCAGCAAAATTCATGAGAAAATTGAAATATTGGAGAGGTGTAAAAATTAGAGAGCTCTAAAAATAATAATAAAATATTAGAGATCAAAGGAATTGGTGAGCTATGACAAGGAGAGTTATGAAATTAGAGAGAGCTCTAAAAATAATAATAAAATATTAGAGAGCTAAGAAATTGGTGAGCTATCACATGGAGAGCTATGAAATTGAAGAGTTCTAAAAATAATAATAAACTATTAGCGAGCTAAGAAATTGGTGAGCTATCATATGTGGCTCTATGGAGAGCTATGAAATTGGAGAGAGCGCTAAAAATAATAAAAAAAATATTAGAGATCTAAGAAATTGGTGAGCTATCACATGGAGAGCTATGGAATTGGAGAGAGCTCTAAAAATAATAATAAAATATTAGTGAGCTAAGAAATTGGTGAACTATCACATGGAGAGCTATGAAATTGGAGAGCTCTAAAAATAATAAAAAAAATATTAGTGAGCTAAGAAATTAGTGAGCTATCATATGTGGCTCTATGGAGAGCTATGAAATTAGAGAGAGCTTTAAAAATAATAATAAAATATTAGTGAGCTAAGAAATTGGTGAGCTATTACATGGAGAGCTATAAAATTGGAGAGCTTTAAAAATAATAATAAAATATTAGTGAGCTAAGAAATTGGTGAGCTATCATATGTCGCTCTAGCTTCGACACTTAGCAAAATTCATGAGAAAATTAAAATAATGGAGAGGTGTAAAAATTAGAGAGCTCTAAAAATAATAATAAAATATTAGAGATCTAAGGAATTGGTGAGCTATCACAAAGAGAGTTATGAAATTGAAGGGAGCTTTAAAAATAATAGTAAAATATTAGAAAGTTAAGAAATTGGTGAGCTATCACATGGAGAGCTATGAAATTGGAGAGTTCTAAAAATAATAATAAAATATTAGTGAGCTAAGAAATTGGTGAGATATCATATGGAGAGCTATGAAATTGAAGAGAGCTCTAAAAATAATAATAAAATATTAGTGAGCTAAGAAATTGATGAGCTATCACATGGAGAGCTATGAGATTGGAGAGCTCTAAAAATAATAAAAAAAAATTAGTGAGCTAAGAAATTGGTGAGCTATCATATGTGGCTCTAGCTTTGACACTTAGCAAAATTCATGAGAAAATTGAAATATTGGAGAGTTGTAAAAATTAGAGAGCTCTAATAATAATAATAAAATATTAGAGATCTAAGGAATTGGTGAGCTATGACAAGGAGGGTTATGAAATTGGAGAGAGCTCTAAAAATAATAATAAAATATTAGAGAGCTAAGAAATTGGTGAGCTATCACATGGAGAGCTATGAAATTGGAAAGCTCTAAAAATAATAATAAAATATTAGTGAGCTATGAAATTGGTGAGCTATCATATGGAGAGCTATGAAATTGGAGAGCTCTAAAAATAATTATAAAATATTAGTAAGCTAAGAAATTGGTGAGCTATCATATAGAGAGCTATGAAATTGGAAAGAGCTCTAAAAATAATAATAAAATATTAGTGAGTTAAGAAATTGGTGAGTTATCACATGGAGAGCTATGAGATTAGAGAGCTCTAAAAATAATAATAAAATATTAGTGAGTTAAGAAATTGGTGAGCTATCATATGTGGCTCTAGCTTCGACACTTAGCAAAATTCATGAGAAAATTGAAATATTGGAGAGGTGTAAAAATTAGAGAGCTCTAAAAATAACAATAAAATATTAGAGATCTAAGGAATTAGTGAGCTATCACAAGAAGAGTTATGAAATTGGAGAGAGCACTAAAAATAATATGAAAATATTAGAGAGCTAAGAAATTAGTGTGCTATCACATGGAGAGTTATGAAATTGGAAATCTCTAAAAAAATAATAAAATATTAGTGAGCTAAGAAATTGGTGAGCTATCATACGTCGCTCTAGCTTCGATGCTTAGCAAAATTCATGAGAAAATTAAAATATTGGAGAGTTGTAAAATTGAAAGTCTAGGGTAATGAAGGCATATTAAGAGTTAGCATCACATGAGAATAATGTAGTTGGAGCTATACATTGATGAGCCCAGAATTAGAAGAACCGACTGGGTGACTTAAGGAAGCCATAAAGAGAGTAACTCTATTCATATTGGTGAGCCAATGAAATTAGAGAGTTGGATTGAGGGTTTGAGAGAACTTTTAGGACGTAAAGTGGGAGGACTAATAATTGGAAGATTTATTCTTATTCATGTATTGATAATTAATTATTATTGTTATTATTGTTATTTATTTATTATTATTAATTTAATTAATTAATTAATTAATTAACTTTTTTGAATCTAAGTATGATTCATGAATACGAAACTTACTTGTTGCAATTTGGCCTGATGCAGGTAGAAATTGATTGCTCAGGATGAAGCGGAAAGCCGTTGTGTGTCCGTCGAAGAAAACGGCCAAAAAGTTACCAAGCAAAGCAAGGGGGGAAGAGGCTGCTAAAGTGCCTTATGTCGAGCACTGGTTTCGTGCTCCTTATTTTGGAGTCGGGGATAGATTCTGGTAATAGTTGGAGCATAAGAGGATTGTTATCCATCTCAGGTTTTGTTGGGGGTACCCCAGGCAGAAAAGGGGGCGGAGGGAATGATAGCTCCCGAGTCTATTATGTGGTTACACATAGAGCGCGGTCTCTATCCATATGCATTTCCAGCTCATGACAGTTATGCTTTTACTAAGAATGGTGGGGGTTTTGATACTTGGGCTAAGGAAGTGCTGACTGATCCTTCTTTTAAAGAGGTTTTAAAGAACGCAAGTATGTGTGGTGCCATAGTGGCAAGTATGGGGCTGAATGTGAGAAGGGAGCCGTTATGGTTGAGTATGGCATTTTTCCATTGGAGTTCTAGTTCTCACACCTTTGTTACTTGGTGGGGGGAATTGACACCTACATTGGAGGATATTTGCGCTTTGACTGGTTTGCCTCTACTTGGTGTCGCAGATCCACTTGCTAATACATCTATTTCGAGTCATCTAAAGATTGTATCGATTCTGAAAGCCTCAGTTTCGGAGGCAGGATTCTTATTGAGTGGTTATGATAAATGAGGAGTGTATCTTAGGCCGCAGTGTCGAGAGCATTGTAAGAATACCTTTGGGGCATGGCTACGGTATTGGTATCAAGATTTGAATCCATCTCCGGCAGAAGGAACCGAGATAGGGGAAAATGGGGTAAATGGGCCTAGATATGAAAGTATAAGCATAGTTCCACTTACCTTGCTGTTTTCCTTGCATATTAGTTGAGTTGGTATATCTTGGAGGGAGCACCTAAGGATGGAGTAGACCCGTCTGTGTTTGATATTGCTACTTATCTTGCGACTGGTCTTTCGGTTGCACTTAGGCCACTGTTTTTGAGGACTCTATACAGACGACTTGATATGTATCAAGTTGGAGCAGAGAAGTCGAAGGGTTGGTATGATGTTATTAGTTATGCATCGATTTCCTTCCTACAGATGTTCTTGTATGAATGGTTTCCTAGGCTTGCTTCTAGACCGATGGATTTTGAGCCTGGAGGAGGCGCGAGAATTCCGAGCTACCAGATGGTATGGGGCATGCATTCGGTGGCCGTTAATCGATATTTTTGACGATGAGAGTGAGTTTATGGCTCGTCCATACGTTCCACCTATGGCGTCCCAAGCTCCGTGACAACGCCGCACACTCATTTAAGTAAGCATGCAAGGCTAAGAGTCCAACACATAACCAACAATGTAAATACTCCAATTAAATCCTTAATTATCATAATGCTAAAATCCATAAAAATTGATTATTCTTATCATATGAAATTATCCACCAAGTCCACTAATAAAATCCATTAACAAAACAATAATCCAAGTACTTAATTCATAGTCCTACTCTCGGCACTCCCACATGTAAAAAATCCCGCGCAGCTCTACTCTTCAGAATCTGAAAAAAAAAAATAAGGGTAAGCTAGATAGCCCAGTAAATAACCAACCATCACTGCCAGCTGGATCAAGTATAAAAATTTAATAAATAAATCGATAACCAATAAATATAAATTTTTCTACAGTTCAATAAATGAACAATTATTTGTAAGATGGTTTCATAGCTAAAAATAAACAATGTACAATACATTTTAAATGAAAAAGCCAGCAAGATAATTCAAAGTAATTCATTGTTCAAATCAATGGTTCGATATTCAGATGGTTCAATGATTTGATTCACAAAACCCAAGTCTTAATGACTACGGTCACTTAGCCCGTGACAAGGCCCAGAACCACACATAGGCCGGTGGTAAAGCCCCAAAAGAAACTAGTTTCTGTGCCAATAAATAACCCCCATTGGCTAGGGTCCAAATCATAGTCAGACTAGAGTGATGTTCAAAATTCAACAATACACAACTTTTAAACAAAATATTCGATATTTTCAAAATAAACATTTAGTACAATTTTCATAATAGTTTCATAAAATTTTCATAATAATATTCGATGCTATTTTATACTTGACCCATATTTTATTTTAAAAGAACATGGAGGCTATGAATAAATACTTATAATTTTAAACGATTCAACAGGAATAAAAAATGTACCAACAATGATAGAGAGTTACTTACCTCAAACAGCTAAACTAATATTTCCCAAACTAATCTTAAATACTCAACTCCACCACTTCAATCGCATGAACCTAATAAATATAACCTCAAACAAATTAATATTTTTGTGTCTTTCACATATCCATAAGAACCCACTGCATATATGAGATGTTTTAATATACAAGAAATATCAAATCAATTCCCTTAATTTAATAGTTAAACACACCTTATCTAATATACCAAATTCTATTACAAAATTACACCTACATAATAATTTGCACTGTGTCCAATAACCCATACAATTGCACATACACGTTGTTCCATGCATCCAAACTCTCAATATTTAGGTATCCACACAAATTTCCTTCCCAAAACCATCTGACTACCTATTAACCCCTGTACATAATATAATAAACAATTGATCCCTTTACATAAAGTAAACAATGGGGCAAAAATACCTCAGTCAATGGGCAATCAAGAACATTTAGTGGCTTCAATTTCCAACTGTCGTTCCTCCTAAGGATGCACTGCGCAGCCGCGATAAAAAGAAATATGAAACCCCCTTTTCCCCTCTTTTTCTTTATTTATATATATATAAATATATATATATACATATTTTAGGGTTATTAACCTAATTTCTTAAAATTACAAGACTACCCATCTCAGTAATAGAAATTATCATGCCACCTCATAACTAATTCTTGATATTACTAAGTGACCCATATAAATTAATGTAATTACCAATCTATCCAAAAATAATAATATTCAAAACTTGGGTTTTACACCACCTATGGTTAGGGTGGTTCCATTTCGGATGTATGACTCGAGAGATTCCGAGGTGGTTTTTGATGGTCGACTGAGTAACGCCGAGACAATGACGACTTGTAACTTCTTGTCGCGTTCCTTGCCTTATTTTGTAAGAGGAGCTTATGGCTCTATATCCTATAATCCGGCAAGAGTGGCTCGCCAATTCGGATTTGATCAGGGGGTCCCTAGTCCTGGCGTAATCCTTCCTGTAGCCGATGCTTTTGAGCAGTTCTTCTATCATACTCATCTTCCGAGGCTCCAGAAGTGTGGCAAGTTTATTCAGACGAGAGCTGATCGTGTAGGTGGGGTGACAACTGGTTGGCGATATTATTGGAGGGAAACTTTTGCCGCCTTTCGAGAGTTTCTCGGCGGTGATATTGGGGGCTTAGAGTTTATATGCATCCCGTTGGATAACGATTTATGTCAACCGCGCATGAAGGGCCAGACTGAATTGGCTAGGGGTGAGTTGTCTTGATTTGCATGCTTAGAGTTGCCCTCTGATGTGTTGAGTCAGGCGAGGGTGGTTGCTATAGACGGTTTTTGAGGGGAAGTGCGTACAACTAAATGACGCCTGACCTAGCCTAAGGAGGAGCCTTCCCAAAGAATGAAGGTTAGCTATTATTCTGTTTTTCATGATTTTCTTTCTTGTTATGTTTTATGTGCTTCTAAGTTGGGCACTTTGTTTCTTCAGGTACAAAGGTCAGTTATTCATCATGATGTTTCAATGGCACCTAGGGCGGTGGGCGTGCCTTCTGAGGAGGAGAACTCTGCTGATGATTTACTTCTGCGTTGGTGGTTGCAGGGACAAAGTAAGGCTAATGGTTTTAGTGATTCCGAAGGTGAGGGTGACAATGGGGATAGCTCAGAGGCTAATCTGAATGTGAAGGATGATGATGTTGTTAGGGTTACATTCGAGCAGGTAGACGTTCCTCTTGATAGGGTAAGATCTGAGGTTGTTGCGCCATATGGTGAGAGCAGAGTGACTTTTGCGCCTCCTTTGTTGCAGTTAGGGCATTCGGTAGCACAGTCAGTTAGGCTTGGGGAGTTCGATGTTGATGACCCGACTGGTCGGTTGCCTTTGTCTAATGTTCAGTCTTGCCGGCCTTCTGGTGGAGTCCCTACCGTCTCTTTATTTGGTGAGAGTAGTGGTTCGTTATCAGTTGATGCCGTCTTGGTGTGCCTTCAATTGTGTCTTCAGTTGGTGCTCAGGTTAGCTTTCCTTTGGTGGATGTTCAGCCTGGTACTTTGCCTGCTTCGTTAGGAGTTGCTACTAGTTTGCCACTTAGTGAGAGTGGTAGTTGTGTCCATGATGATTCTATTGCTTCCGGCATTGGCTGTGACAGTCAAGTGAGTTTACCTTTCTTGGATGGCGAGTTTACCATGACCCGTCTTAATGATGGTTGCATATCCTTGGCAGGGCTTGATGGCAAGGAGCGGGTCTTTGATCCCAAGGTAGTATTTGCTGGCGTACGAGACGAGTATTTGCCTAGACTGAGATTTATTTTTTATCATAGGCCGAGCATTTTCATGCGTTTGGAGGCTATGTTCTTACAACGCTATTTGTTAGGGGCATTCTGTGATATGCTCAGCAGGTTTCACGACCTTACTCCGGAGACTTCTATTGATACGTTTCAGTCATTTCAGGCTGTTGTGGCTGAGTTTCAGTGGCATGAGTTTGAGGTGAGCTGGCTGAGAAAGAGTTTGTCTCGCATGGAGGTGCAAGTAAAGAATCGCTAGCTCAAGGTTGAGCTAGCGGAAATGGACAGGGCTCTAATGGAATCGGCGTCTTCTAGGGAGAAGGCTGTGATGGAGTTAGAGCGAGCAACCAAGGTGCTGGCGGATGTGGACTTGGCAATATCGAATTTGAGAGAGAAGAGAGCCATGGTAGAGGCTCAACTTGTCAGTGTGGAAGATGAGGCTTTTGACTTAGATAGCCAGATAGGTTCTAGTTAGGCAAGCTGAAGAATTTCTTGTACTGGTTGAGCTAAAACCGTAAGTGCTGTATATATTTTTATTATTATTGTTTTCTCTCTTCTTTTTTTTTTTTTTTGGATTGATGATGATTATTAATAGTTACACAAAACATAATGAGAATGGAAATAGCAAATGATTGTTTATTTATCATAAGCATGAGCTGATGTCTTACATTGCCATTACATTAGTAAAAGTAAATTTCTCAGGGGTGATTCCTCATTTTCGTCTTAAGGAAAATAGGCCTTTAGCCATTTGGCATTGATAGGGCTCAAGAGAGCTTGCGAGTTTGGTTCAGAAATTCTATAATAACCATTCTTGTTGGCCTCTCTTACTATGTAAGGTCCTTGCCACTTGGGAGTGAACTTATGGGTAGAGGTTCCCCTCATGACATGAGGTGCAGCACGAAGTACCAAGTCACCTACTTGGAATTATTTGGGGCGTACCAAGGTGTCATAGGCTCGAGCTATTTGACTTTGGTAAACTTTGAGGTTAGCCAGGGCCTTATCCCTTCTTTCATCAAGGATCTCCAATTATGAGGATCTAGAGCCTGAAGTAACTTCACTTCGGAGGGCCATACGAGTTGAGGGTATGGCAGTTTCCACCGGAAGAACTGCTTCCGTGCCTTATACCAATGAGAATGGGATCATCTGAGTTGGCCGTCTTTTCGATGTTCTATAAGCCTAGAGCGCCGTTGGGAGTATGTGCGCCCAAGCCCTTTAATAATCCTTAAGAGTCTGTGAAAGGATTCTAAGGAGTGTTTTGTTGGTTGCCTCTGCTTGCCCATTCCCTTGGGGATAGTAAGGCATTGATTTATGGTGTGTGATGTCGTAGGAGACTAGGAGTTGTCTGACTTGGCAGTTGACAAAAAGGGCCCCATTATCTAAAAGGATTACTCTAGGTATGCCGAAACGACATATGATAAATTCTTGGATGAAGTTGGAGATAGCAGCACCTGTTGTTTTTTTTTTAGGGATGGCTTCTACCCATTTAGTATTGGTCTCTGTAGCTGTTATAATCCATATGTGTCCCCTTGATGGCGGAGAGATGGGGCCAATAAGATCCATAGTCCATGTGTGGAAAGGTCATGGTGGGCTCGAACTATGTAGATCAGTGGCAGGTGCATGAATGGGATTTCCATGAAGTTGGCAAGGTTTGTAGCGTTTGGTGTACATTTTGGCGTTTGCCTCTATGGTAAGCCAATAATACCCTTTATGTAAAAGATCTTGAAATAGCTTCGCTCCACCTTGGTGCTCCGATCCGTGAGTAAGTTCCAAAACTTTATGGATTTCGGCTCCTGATAGGCAACGTAATGGCTTCTCATCAAAGCCATGCCTGAAAAGTTGCTCTCCTTGCAAAAAGAATTTCGGAGCTCGCTTCCTGATTATTGCGGCTGCAGAGCAGCCCGATGGCAATGATTCTTCTTTGAGGTAATCTATGTATACCTGACGCCAGTTGAAGGTGATTTTTGTGAAGTTGCATTCAGCCTTTGAAGGGAATTCTTGACATTTGGTGCACTTCCTTTGAAGGACATTCGCTTCTTTGGCAATGGTAGGCTAATAATATCCTTGTCGTTGTAGCCTCCTGTAGAGGCTTACATCTCCTGTCCCACAGGAGCGGTTGTGCACCCCTTATAACTTGGACTTGGCTTCGATAAGGTCAATACATAGTGCCAATAAACCAGCGGGCCCTCTATAGTAGAGGACTCCTTGGTAAATTGTGAAGTGTTAGGTCTCACTCAAAGGTAGTTTACCTAAGGGGGCACGAAGCTCGTCGATAATTGGGGCTCTCCAGTCGGCGAGTTCTTTTTCAGGGAAGATAGTTGTTACTAAGCATGCCACGAAGCGTTTCAGGACTTCTATCTTGGTTGATTCTTCTGAGAATTCCACCTTAGAGGCCAAGGTGGCGAGGGCGTTCGGGTGTCGATTGTTGGAGCGAGGAGCATGCTCTATTCTTACCGTGTTGAATTTGTTTATCAACCTTTGGACGATGGTTCTGTATGAAGCCAAAAGGGGCTTTTTGATAGCATAGTCTTCATTGGTCTTCTTAACCACCAGATTAGAGTCGCCTTTGATACATAAGAGACCTACTCCTAGATGGAGTGCCGCTAGAAGCCCCAGTATCAGGGCTTCATACTCTGCCTTATTGTTAGAGCATCGAAAATCCAGTTTATATGACAAATTGACTTCGGTTTGGTTTGGGGAAGTAAGGACTATTCCAGCTCCTCCCCCTTTGGAGGTGGATGATCCATCAAAACTCAAACTCCACTCTCCTTCAGCGTTTACTTCAGCAGCTTGGAACTCATCTCCTGGCAGCTCATCCGATAGCAGCTTATGTTCTCCGCTGGGGAAGTGAGCCAGGAGGTCGGCTAACGCTTGGCTCTTAATGGCCTAGAGGTTTTACAAGTGATATCATATTCCGTTAACGAGAGGAGGCAGTGAGCTGGCCTGCCAAAGAGAGCAGGCCTGGTGAGGAGGAATCGGATAGGATCACTCCTGTTCATGAGATGAAAGGGGTAAGAAAATGAGGTAATGTCGGAGCTTTTTAACGGCGAAGACTAGGGCGAGGCAATGCCGCTCGATGGGGGAGTATCAGACTTCAGCCCCTTGGATAACTTTGCTTATGTAGTATACGGGTCGTTCAAGTCCGTCGATTTCTTGGGCGAGCAAAACTCTGACTGACTTGGGCGTAGAAATGATGTAGAGGAGTAAAGGCCTCCCTGGTTAAGGAGGAGTCATGGAGAGAGGGGAGGTTAAAGCTAACTTCACCCCTTCGAATGCTTGTTGGTGCTC